CACTGTGACTGTCCCGGCCACCTGGCCTGCGGGGCTGACTCGGGTTTCGCGTGGACATAAGCCAGGGGACAGCGTGCTCCCCGCGGAGCTGGAGCGCGGGGCTGTCCCACTCCTGAGCCGGGGGCGGCCTGGCGGGGGCGGCTGTGCCCACTTCCGCAGGGCCCCGCCCTGGACGCGTCTGAACAGTGAGGGGCCCAGCACCGGGCGCTGCAATTCCCGGCCAGTGGCCAAGTCAGCAGGGCGACAGGAAATGGGAAGGTCACCCACGCTGGACGCTTCTGCTGACCGTCCCCCACCCAGCCGGGGTGCAGCGGGCCTCTCTGTGGGAAGGGGCCACTTCAGTAAAGGACTTTGCCTCAGCCTCGCTGCGTCGCCCAGGCTGGCCTCCACCTGCGCTCCTCCTGCCTCGGCCTCCCGGCAGCTGGGGATGCAGCCTGGCCGCGGCGCCCGGTGGGTTGGGGACGGCGGCTCTGCTCAGCGCCAGCTGCTGCACCGGGCTCGGCCCCCTCACGTGGCTGAAGGGCCCTGTGGATCCACTCTGTGGACCTGGGAGTTTCCTGCTTGGTCTGAGCCTGTGCCGTCTCACGGGAGGCGTTTCTCTGGGGTGAAGGGACGCCCGGGGGCCGGTCCCCAGGTAGACAGCTTCGGCACAGAGGGCGACCCCAGGGCTGTCCACGGCTGTGACAAAACGCCGACCGCCAGCCCGAGAGGAGAAGAGGCCCCTCCGCCTGGCCTTGTAGCGCCTGGGCCCCAGCACCCTGACTAGGGCCCCCAGGGACAGACCCCCGGCCCCGCCTCTTAAAGCCCCCTCGGCCTCCTGCCGGCAGCCCCTGGGGACCACGCCCTGGACACGAGGCCTCTGGGGACGGTCCAGGAGCAGGCCGGGCAGGGCTGAGCACGGCAGGTCCCGAGGACACGTCCTTTCTGTTCCATCCCCGAGACCACTCGGTCCCCGAGGGGAAACTGTGGCCAGGCCCTGTGACGGTGAGTGGCCGTCCAGGGTGGAACCCCGGTGCCCGCGGCAGGCAGGGTGGGACGCGCACCTCAGTGCCTCTCCCACGCTGCCCCTGAGCAGCCTCCCAGGGCTCGGTATCCAGCAAGCACTTAATGAATGCCCACAGAAACCCAGATGGGAGCCGTGTGTCCAGCAGAAAGTCGGTCTCACTCCTCCCCCCAGAACCTGCGGTGGCTCCCCGTGGCCTTGGGTCGCAACCTGCAGCCCCAGGGCTGGCCTCGGGTCCATCCCCGCTGCTCCGCTGCCTGGACGCTCTGCACTTGAACTGAGTGTGGACGGCCCCTGTGCAGCGCCACCTCAAAGCCACCTCCTCAAGTGACCCCCCTGGGCCTCCCACACCGATGGCCCCTGCTGCCCGTCCCCGTCCCCTGTCCTTGGGAGTCACACGGCACAGCGGCTCACAGGGAGGAGCCGGCGCGGGCAGGTGGCGTGGACCCCCCGACCTTACCACTGTCCCCAGGAGACGACAGCCAGGGACACCCTCACCCCGGCCGGCTGCAGTCCCCACAGGACCTGGCTCCAGCCCTGGTTGTCACAGACAGGCGCTGTGTCCCAGGGCGGAGGTGACTTGCCTGTTCCCAGGGTCCTGTTGGGCGGCCCAGGCTGTGACACGTGCGCCTGGGTGGGAGGGCGAGACCCCACCTCCAGCGGGCAGAGGCGCTCCTCTGGGTCTCTGAGCAGTTATGGTGCGCCTGCTGGATACCACATCCTCGGGAAACACCAGCAGGGTCCCAGGGGCTCACGGCCACGAGGCCTGGCGGTAGGGGTCTCGGGACAGCCACGGGATATTCTGCACAACACCCACACCCCACGGCGCCAGGCTCGGAGCCCCAGAGCGGAGGTGGCCTGGCGGCTGGCTCCGGCGGCGCAGATGCGGCTATTTAAAGCCTCGGGGCTCGGTAGACAGCTGTTTCCCCCGAGCCGCGGAGTTGGAATTAAATTCATTCCCGAATTAAACACGCGAGCGCACACTCACACACGCGAACACTCGCGCACACCCTGGGCCACTTGGAGGCGAGGCGGCTCCCGGGGCAGCCGAGTCTCGTCCTGGGTGCCACTCGCTTCCGCCCGACAAGTCGCGTGGCGGCCCAGCGGTTGCCACTGTGCCTGTGGCCAAGCGCCCCGGCGCCGCCCGCCCAGGCCCGGGCAGTACAGTCCAGCTGCCAGCCCGGCGCCCCTCCATGTCCCTGGGCCCTGGGGCCCGCAGGACGCAGACAGGTGCCGGCCTCCCGGGTCGGCCTCTTCCACCCCGGGGGGTTGTCCAGTCCTTCGTCCTCCTCTTGGGCACCGCGTCCCCCGGCTGGGATCCCAGTGGCCGAGCTCCTGCCTCTGTCCACCTCCAGCCTGGCGGCTCTGCCCGCGCCTCCCGCTGCCTGCGCCGGGTCACTGTCCCCAGCAGGCCAGCCTCCCCATCGGGCCCCTGGGCCGCACCCGTGGCGCAGAGCATCGGGGAGGACCTTGGTGCCGGGGGAGGCCCGCGTGGGGCCAGGCCGGGCACCGTGAGGCGCACTTCAGCAGGACAGTGGGCAGCGCCGAGGGCCCTGCTGGTCCAAGGACGGTGGACCACGGCGGTCACGGGCACTCGCCTCGGTCACCAGTGCCAGGGGCCACCCACTACGCTGCCCTGGGCCTGCCGTGTCCCCACGGCCCTGCCCTGGCCACCCTGGCCCCAGGCCGTCCCCCCAGGACGGCGCTGCCTCTGCCTCCGACGTTTCCTCAGTGCGCTAAGGGTGCTTCTTCAGTGCTCAAGGGTTTCTGTGGGTTTGTTTTTTTAAGAATTTTATTTTTAAATAAGTTTAAACTCACAGAAAATCTGCAGAGAGTGCTCGGGGTTTGTGCACCCCGTCTCCCAGCTTCCCGAGGCCGACACCTCACAGAGCCCGTCAGACCAGGACATGCGCGTGTCACCGGGTCACTAAGAGCCAATCCACGCACTTTACTGACTTCCGCCAGATTTTAAAAATCCTTCTTGGCAGGGCGAGGTGGCTGCGCCTGTCACCCAGCTGCCTGGGAGGCTGAGGCAGGAGGATCACAAGTTGGAGGCCAGCCTCAGAAACTCAGCAAGACCCTGTCTCAAAATAACAAGTACCAAGGGCCGGGCGCGGCCCAGGGGTGAGCCCCGGCCTCGCCCCCAGCACCCCCACAGCTGCTCCTCCGCCTGGTGCACCCTGGACGGCCGGTCTCTGCACCCCTCGGTCCTCCGGGCCCCAGCAGCCCTTGCTGGTCCCCCCTCTGGGAGGTGACATGTCAGCCTCCAGACATCCCGCCACATTCTCCAGTGACCCCAGCCAGGATCCCGGGGGCGCCTGGAGAACCCGCGGGCCTCTGCAGAGGGGGGGGGCACCTGGTGCTGCCCAGGGATCAGCCGGGCCCTGCCTCCTGCCACAGGCCACCCTCGGCCCCTCGGATCAGAAGGCCACCGCGTCAGCGCGTCCCACTGCTGGGCGCTGGCCCTGGGCCTAGGCCACGGTGGCCAGGTTCCCCCCGGACCCTCAGCCCTTCTTTCCAAATGAAGGGGTCCCGGGCGCCTCGGGACTCTGCGGTCGCCGCCTCGGCCAGCGCCCGGCTGCGGCCCTGTCCCCTGCCGCCCGCCACGGGCACCTGGCTCTTCCCGGCAGAGCCCGGGGTGGGGACCGGGTGGCTCCGGCAGTGGGGGTCCCTGGTGACGGTTGAGGGACCCTGAGCGAAGCCGCCACGCGGGTCCCGGGAGCTTGGGGAGTGGCTTTGCGGGTCCCTGGGAACCGGGTGCAGAGCAGGGACGAGGCCCGGGCTCCCAGGGGACTCGGGACGTGGCGCTCTGAACTCTGCCCCAGACGGCCGCGGTCTCCGCCCCCCCCCACAGGGACCCCGAGGCCGAGGGGAAGGTCTGAGGGCCCGAGGCTCAGGGGCGTCCCCCAGGGGGACTGGTCCCTCCTGTCTCCCTTCCCCCACGCGGCCCTGCCCCACGCCACAGGCCGGAGCGGGGCCACCAACCTCACAGCCACCCTTCCTCCTGGCGGCCACCGTCCCAGGCACCGTGGGGCAGGAACTGAGCCGCCAAGGGCAAGAGGTCAGTTTGGCCTCCACTGCACTAAAGGCGCTCGGCACAGACCAGGAGAGCCCAGGAGGCAGGCTGGGGAGCAGGCCCCGTGTGGGGACAGGCCCCCCAGGCCCGGGTTTTGTTCAAGATCAATTCTGCCACCTGCGTCCCCGACAGGGATGCCGCTCTCGCCACGGCCTCGGGTGGGAGCACAGGGGCACCACCCCAAAGGACCTATGGGCTCTCCACCTTGAAGCAGCCTTTATGGTGCGCCAGCTGTGTACTGTGGACCTGCTGTTATCAGGCACCAATGTGTGCGACTGAAGGTAAAGGGCGGCGGGTGACTGGGATGTCAGGATCCAACGGGCCAAGGCCGGGTCCTGAAGACCGTGCTCAGAAGCTGGTCCTTGGGCTCCTGATGGCAACACTTTTATTGGTCGTGGGGAGGCCAGAGCGCTGGGCTGCTGGGGGACAAGAGAACCGTCTGTGCCCCTTCAGCCCACCAGAGTTTCTGCCTCACGCTCACAACCGGTGCTTGGAGCCGCAGGTGTGCAGCGTGTGCGCCCAGTGCGCGGGAGGCGAGTGGGGGCTTCTCCCTGCTTGGCCAACAGTGCCGGGTGCCCTCGCCTGCGCGCTCAGCCCTTCCCGTCTTCCCCTGCGCCACGTCAGCACGTGGGGGCGCCCCGCTCCTTTTCAGGGCCGTGGAGTACTCCTCTGCCTGGCCAGGCCGGGAGCTGCTGGCTCGCTTCCTCTGGCTGGGAACACAGTTGCTCTGTCTCCAGTCACGGTCACACTGCACTCAGCCGGTGTCACCGCGAGATGAAAGGCCACAGATGGAATTTCTGAGTCAAAGGGCTTCTGGCACTGGGCAGAACCGCCGCGAGGTGTTTCGGTCACGGGAGCGCATCCGGGTGTGACCCAGTTTCCCCCGCTGTCCCCGGGCAGGCTGCCACCCGTGTCCTGCCAGCGATGGACAAGGAGCCCTATTTGGTGGGTCCTGAGCCGAGGGGCTGGCGTTTTTCAGGGCAGGAGCAGAATCAGGGGTCCCCTGGGGTGAGGGGTGCCCCGAGGTCAGGACGGGGCAGCGGGAGCCGCTGTGAAGTGCATTGTGGGTAAAGGGAGACAGCGAGGGGGAGTGGAGCCCAGGACGGAGGCAGGGAGGCTGAGGAGGCAGGCGCCCTCCAGAGCCTGGCCGCCAGTGATGGTCCCTGCGCGGAGGACCCCGCACAGCCCCTCGTGGGCACAGAGGCCTCCGGGGGGACGAGGAGACGGAGCCCTTCCCTCCCTGCCTCCCACCAGGAGGGCGCGGAGCCAGGTTTTCAGTTGGCGTCAGTCAAGGCTTAGATGAGCTCAAACTGTCCCAGTCTGTCCCTCCTCCCGTCCCCATTCTCCAGTCTCCACCATGGCTCCCTGCAGGACGACTGCCCTGGTCCTCATGGCCACCCTCACCACCCTTCAATCTATTCCGCCGGAGACAACGTCAAGATGTGAGTCAATCCCTGGCCCCCTGGAATCTTGATTGCACCTGGAACACAGGGAAATCTTGCTGTGGTCCACTAGGACCTCCAGGGTCTTCTTTCACTTTCCTTACCCATTCTTCCTCATGCTCCCTCTGTGCCATGGCCCCGCCAGCCGCGTTCCCAGCTCTCTGGCCTCACTGGGGCAGCTCAGCTGTATCCAGGAAGGTGGCATTTGGCCTTCAAGCTGCCTGAATCCTCTGTGTGTCACCTGGAGCAGGGGTGGGGCTGCAAGACACAGACGGACAGACACAGAACTATGGAGACAGAGAAACAGAGACAGAGCGACGAAGATAGGGAAACAAAGGACACAAGGATAATGTGACAAGCGTCCATAAGGAAACAGCACAGATGTAGGTGACAGAAGATGGACAGAGAGCACACAGTAGAGTGCGGGTGGCGGCAGAGGGGCCAGGGCCATGGGGCGCTTGCCGCCAACTCCCCTCAGCCACTGGCAAGGGCTGCTCCCTGGGTGGGACGGACTCCCCTGCCAAGGCCCGGGGGCTCCAGTGGGCAGCAGTGGCCCCAGGCCGGGCTGCAGGCGCGGGGACAGCAGGTCAAAAGGACAGAAATGGTAAAAATGGTAAGTGAAGGTCTGCGAGTGGGGCCAGGCCCTGGATGCCACCCCTGCTAAGGAGGTGCGGGAGGGACAGGGTGGCAGGAGAGAGAGGGAGAGCGAGGCTCTAGCCAGCAGGACTGCTCCAGGCAGCAGATGGGTAGCGCCTTCCCAGCTCAGCCACCAAGGCAGCAGGTGCCTTCCTCCTGCTGGTTCCTGGGGAAAAGTCCCAGGACCAGCTCTCATTGGACCAGGCTGGATCACATGTTCTACCATGAGCCAATCACTGTGGCTGGGAGAATACAGTGCTCTCATTGGTCAGGCCTGGGTCATGTGGCAAGCTGCCGGGCAGGTCTGCTCTTTCCCATGCACCCTTGGGAGCTGGACTCTCATTGGCCCAGCTTGGATCACATGTCTCCCCTGAGCCAATCACTGTGGCTTGGAGGATAGCCACACTCTCATTGGTCAGACCTGGGTCATGTGCCTACCCCGCAGGCCGGCTGCCCTGCCCTGCCCCTCGACGCTCAGAGTCCACTTGCGCCACAAGAAGAGCCCTCGGACACGCCCTGCCGTTGGCCCCGAGCAGATGTCGCCAGAGGTAGGTGGTACCGTTGTCGTCCTTCACTGAGAGGCGAGTCGCGCCCAGAGGGCAGCGCAGACTGCGGGTCACCAGCAAGAACCGCGCGCGACGCTGGGGCGCCCGGCGAAGCTGAGCCGAGGCCGGAGGAGCGTCGCGATCCGCAGCGAGGGGGAGGCCGCGGCTGGAGGCAGCGTCGTGAAGAGCCTCCCTTGGGAAGGCTGTGGTCCGCGCTGGCCTCCGTGTCCAGACCCTGACGGGAAACAGGAGAAAGCAGCAGCCCTGTCCCCCCCTCGCCAAAATGGCAAAGCCAGCCTCCCCCCCCCAGAGGGGGCCTAATGAGAGCTTTGCTCCCGGTGGCCGAGCTGGCCAGATGCAGGCCTGACCAACTGAGCCCAGCCCAGACAGCACGAGGCAATCCAAGAGGGAGAGAAGCACCTTCCTGATTGCCATTTCCAGTGCCTGGAGCCAGCCGCACCTGAGGCCCACACTCCAGGTCTCCTAGTGACACAAACTGACGGGTTCTCTTAAGTCCATGACCGTCCAGTGGTAAGACGTGGACGGAGCAGAAAGATGGAGAAGGGAGTGTGGCACCTCCAGCTCCCCGACTCCCTACAGAGAGGAAGCTCCAGGGTGGGGCCTCTGATGTCCCCGAGGTCTGCTCTGGCCGCCTTCCTGAGCTCCACCTGTCCCCCTGCCCCCGCCCCCCACGCTGAGTTTGAAGGAGAAGTAGGCGGGGGTGGCGGGTGCTGAGTGCCCACAGAAGGGGACTTAGCGCCCTGCCGGCGAGCCGGGATTCTGAATTTTATGGTCTCATTCATAAAATGGGCGTTGAGGACCGCTGGTTCCTTCACAGATGTATACCGAGGACCTACTATGTGCCAGGGGCTCTTCTGGAGGCTGAGGACAGCCGAGGCCTCTCCCCAGGAACTTGTGGTCCATGGGGGAGGCAGATAGTAGTCGAGGCCCTGCGCTCGAGGGACGCGCAGTCAGAACTCCGAGGTGGGGTGCAGGGGCTGCTCTGGATTAGGTGACCAGGGGCCTGGGCTCTGGAGGACGGAGGGTCTCCAGGCACAGGTGCAGTCGTGCAAAGGCCCTGAGGCAGGGCAGAGCCGTGCTGGAGGCCAGCAGGGAACTGTGGCTGGCAGGGGGCCGGGGGCAGGGTAGGGGAGTGGCTTTGGTCTTAAGACTGAACCCATGGGGGGCAACAAGCCAGGTCCTCTGGAGTCTCAGAGGAGGGTGACAATGGCATCTTCTCTGTGGGCTTTTGAGGACTGAACCCGTGTTGGGGACACTGGTCCCTCTGTGGGTCCCTGAGTGCTGGGAGCCGAGGTGCGCTGAGCTTTGAGCTTTGAGCGGGTTTTCAGAGGCGCCTGGGCCCAGTCGGGGGCCTGGGAAGGTCCCAGCAGCCCCAGGCCCAGGTGGCAGGACGATGTCACAGAGGCTGGGGCATCTAGAACCCTGAGGGCTCCTGGCTCAGTGTCATCTGGCAGAACGGCTGGGGGCAGGAACCCCTGAGACCAGGCTTGGGAGACACCATGCGGGCCGCGCTGCCCCGAGCCGCCTCTGACTAAGGCCGTCCGGCCGCAGCCCGTTGCCCGCCCCTGCCGGAGAGGCCCCCGAGATGCCCCAGGGGCCCCTGGCGCCCTGCCCTGGTGGGACCTAGGCGGGCACCGCAGGAGCAGCGGGAGCAGCGGGAGCCATGGGGTGGCCTGGCCCGGCCCTGGCCGCGCTGGTCCTGGCCGTGCTGCTGGGGCCCTCGCGGGCCGTGGTGCGCGCCGTGCTGGAGGGCAACGGCAGCTCGGTGGACTTCGCCGACCTGCCGGCCCTGTTCGGGGTGCCGCTGGCCCCGGGGGGCATGCGGGGCTACCTGATGGAGGCCAAGCCGGCCAACGCCTGCCAGCCCATCGAGGGCCCGCGGCCCGGCAACCGCTCGCTGGGCGCCATCGCGCTGATCCGCCGCTACGACTGCACCTTCGACCTCAAGGTGCTCAACGCGCAGCGGGCCGGCTTCGAGGCGGCCATCGTGCACAACGTGCGCTCCGACGACCTGGTGCGCATGGCCCACGTGTACGAGGACCTGCGGCGGCAGATCGCCATCCCCTCCGTGTTCGTGGGCGAGGCCGCCTCCCAGGACCTGCGCGTCATGGTGCGCTGCGACAAGTCCGCCCACGTGCTGCTGCTGCCCGACGCCCCGCCCTGCCCCGACCTGGACTGCCACCCCGTGCTGGCCATGTCCTGGGTGCTGGGCCGCACCCTGGCGCTGGTGGCCTCCACCTGCTTCATCCTGCGCCGCCTGTGGCTCTGGGTGCACAGCTGGTGGCCGCGGGCGCCGCCGGCCAAGGCGCAGGCGAGCCAGAAGGCGCAGGTGCGCACCTTCACGCGGGCCAGCGACCTGTGCGCCATCTGCCTGGACGAGTACGAGGAGGGCGACCGGCTCAAGATCCTGCCCTGCTCGCACACCTACCACTGCCGCTGCATCGGGCCCTGGTTCTCACAGGCCGCCCGGCGCTCCTGCCCCGTGTGCAAGCAGTCGGTGGCCAGCACCGAGGACGGCTCCGACTCCACGGTGGAGAGCTTCGGCGACGAGGACGCCTCCCTGCCGGGCCACCAGCCGCCCATCTGGGCCATCCAGGCCCGGCTGCGCTCCCGGAGGCTGGAGCTGCTGGCCCGGACCAGCCCCAGCCGCCACCGCAGCACCACGTCCCTGGGGGCGGCAGACACCGCCGCGCCCCCCGACAGGCCCCCGGGGCCCCCCTGTCCGGGCGGGGGGGTGGCGACGGGTGTTTCTAGAATAAAGTGGGTTTGAATGTGGAGTCTCGCCCTGCGCTGCTGTCGGCCACTCGGGCTGGGACCAGGAGGGACGCCCGCCTGCCCGCTGGCCCAGGAGGCCCTCAGGGAGCCCGGCCTCCCGGCTCGGCGCCTCCCCCTAAATAAACGGTTACTTTGGAGTCACCTCGGGGGTCCAGAA